CTAAATAAAATCTACTGTTAGATTCAACATTTGACACAGTTAAATTTAAAATTGTCTGTTTTTGTGGTGCTTTTTTATATGATACATTTGTACTTGATGTTGAACTTGAACTTGCGTGAGGCGTATATTCTGAAATAGATGCATCAATAGAACTACTAGTTGCTGTCCAAGATATAGTTCTCTTCAGAGGATGGTTTATATTTATTGGTTTTAGCTGCGTTGTATTGCAGCCTATACTGCGTTGTTGTCCTTTCAAATTTATCTGAATTTTCTTATTAGAAGTCTCAAGATAGGTGTTCGTGCTTGCGTCACATTTTACTTTTACTTCTTCTTCATAAAACTCTCCTGATGGGGATGAAATAATGGCGGTTTTGGAGGGTGTGTACATAAATGATGATTTAATTAAATGTGCATTATCCAATGAAGACTCAGACATTTCACAACGCAATTCTGGGGTAGAAGGTAATTGAACGGGTGCTGAACATGTTGAAGGTTGTGGTTCATCTATGTCTTTACTAACAAAAAGTCGTTTACGAAAACTGCATTCTTCTAGATTTTCTCGTTTCCTTTTTTAGCAGAATCAGTCAATTGGGAACCATAGTACTTTCCCTCAATTTTTTTATTGGGTAATACATCTTTCTTCAAAATTAATTTACTTCCCATCCTTTTTCCCAGTTTACAGCATCCTTCTCCAACTAAAAAATACATGTTATATTGACTGTTATTCAAAACACAACTTTAGTAAAGTTTAACTTACATCAAAATGATCCTCACAACTAAACACATGTTTACTTGAAGTTAATGTCTGGTTTGAATTTAAGCCACCAAGTCTTCGGCAAATCGGCCGGAAGGAAATAATAAAAAAAAATAAAATAAAATAAAAAACATAGATATAGAAATCCATGAATACCATCAATAACCATACGATGATCAATTCAATCCCTGAGATTCGTAAACAAAAAAATAATAAAATTATAAAATTGGGAGTAGAAAAGGAATGAGGTTAAAGGAGTTTGAAAGCGCTACCCGGATTTACGTCGCAACTCTCGGGTATACGCAACCGGTGAAGCAAGAAGATACCATAGACGGTAAAAAAGGAAATAATACTACGACTTACAGGGACCAAACAAACCACCGCACGATACAATCCAGCATCACTTCAGACTAATATCAGTAACATAGAGGAATTCGTGAAGCGAAAACTCTCTAAAACAAAAAAAAGAAAAACGACTCTACTAGGAAGAACAAAAAAATAGGTTTATTACTACAAATATGGGATACAAAGTGGAAAAGGATTGTGAAAATAAAGACAGGTAGTTTTGTTCCCAACCCCTGACTACAACAAAAACCCAACACATTTAGGGGGCTCTTACCCCAGGCAGTGGTACACCATGGCGGAATTCTTACACCCCCAACCACAGGGCAAACACACTTATTCAGCATTAAATACTTTAAGGTGAGTAACATGCCAGTGACCCGGCATGGCATTACTGTCCATCTCCTCTAACACATATATATCCGGTGATAATTTTTTCCGAACCCGATAAGGTCCTACATATTCGGTTGACATTTTCGCTGCTATACCCTTAATCGCATCCGAAAGGACAAAATTACGTCGCCAAACCACATTACCCGGTTCGAAACTGACTGACCGACGTCTCAAATTATATCTCTCTCTCGCGCGATCTGATGGTACTCCAATACGCGTATAAAGTTCTCTATACAACCGACCGAACTCGTTAGCTCTATCTTTAATTAGACTTTTAGGAGGCTTATTGTCCAAATTCTCATGTAAATTTCCATCCAAAATCATCTCTCTACCATAGTTGACGAAGTACGGTGTAAATTTCGTGGTTTCGCTTTTAGCTGTTCGTATCGCACAGACAATTTTACTCAAAAAGGTATCCCATTTCCTATGATTATCCCACACATACGCCGTAATGATAGTTTTTATGGTTCTATTAATCCTTTCAGTAGGATTAGCTTGTGCATGGTAAAATGGTGTGAATTTACTTTTAACATTGTAATTTTCTAAAAGTTTACTATATTCCTTAGATCTAAATTGCACGCCATTGTCCGACACGATCGTATGAGGTACCCCGTATGTTAAAAAGACATCGTCCTCCAGACAACGAACCACAGCTGATGCTGTTGCCTTTCTCAACGAGAAACACACCGGATATTTGCTAAACACATCGAGTACCACTAGTATGAACGAAAACCCTTTCGCGCTTCGCGGTAACGGTCCGATAAGGTCAATACTTAAGTATTGCCATGGTTTATCCGCACTCAAGTGACTATGCATTTTCCCCGCGGGAGCCCTTTGTTCGACTTTAATCTGTTGACAGATTCTACAATTCTTTATATAATTCATAACGTCGCTCTTTAATTTGGGCCAATAATAATTTTGAGTGATCTTCGCGATGGTTTTAAACACTCCCAAATGACCTCCCGTTTCCGCTACGTCGTGATATTTATGAATTATTCCCGTCCGTTCTTTCTTAGCAACAACCTCACGCCAACCCCCGTCCATTGACAATTTCGGATAAGTAACTTTAATTCTCTTATAAACTATCCCGTTCTCGATTCTGTAATTCGGATATTTATATTCTTTATCTAATATATTCTCTTTGAGTTTATTCAACCACGGATCCTTTATCACCGATTTCACGACCTCATCGACTACCACCGGTACCGCACGAGACAGCATGTCCGGTACAACATGGTCTTTACCCTTACGATGCTCAATGGTGAAGTTGTACTGCTGAAGTCGAATTGACCATCTGGCCAACTGTCCGGAAGGAGACTTTAGCTTATTTAACCAAACTAACGAGTAATGATCCGTAATGACGCGAAAATGAGTACCCTCAACGTATGGCCT